GGAGAAGGTCCACGCCCAGGAGTGAGCGCTGGCGTCTGTGCGCCCGGGCGCGAAAGGCATAGCCAGCCCCACGAATCCATAGCTGCCAGCGCTGCATACTGTCGTAGGACGTTCCCGCGGTCGCGTGCGCCTTGCCGCGGAACTGCGCGCAAGATCTGCGCTTAGCGCTTTGGATTAACACCTCCTTTCGGCAACGCTTCTCTAGTATCCCGTCTCATCTGGATAAATATTTTTACAGTTTTATTTTCAAAGCTAACGTGTAAGTTAAAGTGTAGTGAGTTATTTACTGACGTTTTCACAGTGGTTTGTTACACAAATTTATGTGGAAAGTTCGAGGGAAGCTACCTTTAAGTTGTAGCAGGATTAAATAATTTAAAATCTGAGATTATTTACGTGTGATTATAGTGAATAATATTTGTAAGTAGGCTTGCATTGTTATACATGATGTAATATGTGTGTGTGCGTGTGCGTGTGCGTGTGCGTGTGCGTGTGCGTGTGCGCGTGCGCATGTGTGTTTATTGGTCTCTTATAATAGAAATGGATATGATAGTTCATATACATTCAGTTGTGTTTGTATACAAAATTATCTTTGATGTTTAGAAACATGACTTGAAAGGTGAAATCTTGACAGCTTCTGGCCGCAGACCAACCGCCCAACGTCCGCAGAAAAATAGTAGTTTTATTGACATGTTGAACAAGGTATTACTTGAAGTTGTTATCTAGAAACATCCTTTAAATGTGTCTTGGAAATACTCTTGAATATGAAATGAAAAAATGCCCATGTAAATGATTAAAAATAAATATATCTGAAATATTCGAGTTAATTTATGTGGCCGCCAGTTGTATTATATTAAACTTGTTTCACACTTATATCAACTTATCTGCATCTATTGACAATTTGCAGGTTTTGATTGAATGTTTCCAAGTCCAACGGTTAATATTCAAGCATAATTCACCATTTCATTTCAGAGAGAAATTGGAATGTTAAAGCACCTACACTTTACTTCCGGTGACCGCTCTGAGATGTCTACAGGGTATGTGGCTCTGCTGTTTTATAAGGCCAATGACAAAACCCCGTGGCATTTCACTAAACATCTGTAACTGTAATCTTTTCACGTTGTTGGATATATTTTGTTGGTTGTAAGGGAGGCTAAATTTTCTTTCTGAAAACATGAATTTGAAATGTATGAAATTTGTTACTGTGATTAGCTGTGTCACCAGCTGTAAAAGATATTCCACATGCACTGCCACGTACATTGTAAGTCTATTCTACCATGGCATCTGACTCATGTGTAAGCATTTGCTTTCCAGATCTATTTAAAGACATCTCATTTAATACAATGATGTCTCAAATAAATCAAATAATGTGTGGTACAATATAGTCTTACCTATAAAATGTCAGTTTTTTCCATCTTTTATCATAGCTTAGCAGTTGTTTAGCATTGCTTTTTCATCTTTAGTAATGTTTACTAGGAAGTTATGGGACCAAGGAATATTCAGAGGAAAATTGATGGTACAATTTGTTGTTGCCATTATCATTGGTGCTATTCAAATGATGTATCAAGTATCAGTATCTGGTACTTAATGTGAGTCATGTGACATCAACATGGAATTCAGAGTTAATTAAAATTTATAAATGTATATATTTTGGTGAATATAACATCATACAATATCTAAGACATATTAACTTTACTACAGACACTTTCTTGCAAGGAGTCATGGCATGTACTAACACAAGTAGAATAACATGAAGAATAATATAATATAACATGTCTCATATTATTTATTTAATAAAAATCGTTAAACACATTTTGATGGGACACTTGATAGAAATTGTGGGTGTAGCTTGTGAAGTATTCATCATTGATTTCAATTATAGTAAGAAACTAGTAGTATAGTAGATAAAAACATACGAGGTCAGCGTGGAGACTGGCAATGACTTCAACATCACTATACATTGTATGCACAGTGTGAGGCTATGTGTATGGGGAGGACTTGTTCCCATGCCCCCCAGTCCATGACTCCAGTGGAAGCAATGACAGTATATCACCTATTGTTCAGGGGAAAATATTGATGATCTATTACACTTTTACAGGTTTATACCAAATTGTATGGAACGGGTGGCCTCCTATCATCACAAGGCATTCTGTGGGCAGTTCTCGCAAAGTGGCGATGTCTTCATCACTGCTTGTCAAGGTGTGGCTAAAAAACATTAATTATTAATACCTGTTTAACATATAAGATGCTATGCCACTGTATGTAAGCGTGACTTTGTAGACTTTTCTAGAATTAGTTTATTTGCTACCTATAAATCTACACCAATCTAATTATAGACAATTTATGAAATTTGCCTAAATTGATCGTTAATTAATTATTAAATGACCAGCCGATATTTAGAGTGTGAATTTTCATTTCACGTTAACGTCTGTAACAATAATGTCAACATTAACCAGAAAAGTCTATGTGAGATTCTAATAGTTGTACTAATGCGCACCATTTCAAATATTGCAGATCAGAACATACGCATATATGACACAACGGGGAACAGGTTTAGACAGTTAAAGGGAGTTGCAGCACGAGACGTTGGCTGGAGCGTTGTAGACACTGCATTTAGGTGAGTGATGAAGGGGGATTAGGCACCACCTGTCAAAATCATGTAGTTAAAATATAAAATTTAATATTTACATTTTTAAATCAAGCATTTTTTTAGCTTATCTGCTTTTACCAACTTATGTCGAAAGTGTCAAGGGATCAGATGTCTCTGTTCAAATTTTGGTCAGTTCAGGTTCAACGGATTTTGCTCATTTCTAGTATGTGAATAAATAAGGACTGGCCCCAAAACATATCACACGGGTTTTGATATTTTTTAAATTATGCAAATTAGGTAGGTTTGGAAATTTCACTATGCATTTCAGTGTCTGCCTACGGTCAACGATAACTCGAGAACCGTTTGACCCACATGTTTCAAATTGCATACAGTTGTTACTCCTATGGGAAAGATTTGAACGTCCTATTTTGGAGCACGCCAGTCGACCTACTTTCGAGCCATCCCCACTTTTTGGCAAAAATGAAAATATCCATTTAAATTCATTCGATTTTGTTAAATTTTGGTATGTGAATGTGTAAGGCTAGCCCCAAAACAGTTGTTACTCCTATGGGAGAGATGACAACGTCCTATTACATTTATTTTGTCTAACTGGTTAACAGCTCTACAATCATACCTATATACATGTAATATTGTGCTTTAGATTCTGCGTTACATTAATTTGACTGAAATATTATAAAGGTCGTGGCTACGCGACCGGTTCCGGACGAGGAGCTGCTGGGCTACGCGTCCGGACATCCAACTCACACTCTTGCGACACGCACACGCAAGATTGTGCAACGGGACGCTCTGCTGGTTGCCGAGTGTGTGTGTGTGTGTGTGTGCGTGCGTGCGTGCGTGCGTGCGTGCGTGCGTGCGTGCGTGCGTGCGTGCGTGCGTGCGTGCGTGAGTGAGTGTGTGTGTGTGTGGTAGTGTGTGTGTGTGTGTGTGTGTGTGTTGTGTGTGTGTGTGTTGTGTGTTGTGTGTGTGTGTGTGGTGTGGAGAGAGGAGGCAGAGAGAGAGAGAGAGGAGAGAGAGAGAGAAGGAATGTGTATGTGTGTGTATGCGTGAGAGAGAGAGAGAGCGAGAGAGAGAGAGAGAGACTGTGTATGTGTGTGTGTATGCGTGAGACAGATGAGAGAGAGAAGAGAGAGAGAGAGAGAGAGAGAGAGAGAGAGAGAGAGAGAGAGAGAGAGAGAGAGAGAGCTGTGCTTGTGTGTGAGAGAAAGAGAGAGCTGTGTGTGTGTGAGAGATTGAGAGAGAGAGCGAGAGAGGACGGATGAAAGGATAGATGGCAGCAGTGCATATATTGTATATTTTCGGCAATCAGCAGAGCGTCCCGTTGCGCAATCATGCGTGTACGCGAGTCACGCGATCACTGTGTGAGTGGATGTCCGGATGCGTAGCCTGGAGGCTAGGCGACCGGTTCCGGATGCGTAGCCACTGCGTATTATAAAACCAAAATGGCGATCATTTAGGCGTAGTGCCATCTCTCGTCAAGATTTCAGACTTTCAGATCTGAAACATTTATTTTCGCATCAAAACTTATGCATATATCATTATCAATAGTATATAATGGGAGATATGCTTTATAATGGGAGTTCTCCCATATATCCTCTTGCTTTATATATTTCCCTCCCTCTTCTATCTCACCCAAGGTGAGCTACAGTGTCATTGACACTTTTGTTAATACAACGGAGTGTGCAATTTAAACTGCTCAAAATTCTGGCAAGTTGCTTGGACAGAAAATGTGTGCATAGAACATGTTGGCATTACTGGAATAGTAATAAAGAGATAAGAATCATGATACAGTAATTTGACAGTGAAAAGTAAACAGGAATATGAACGTTAGTTCTTGTTTCAACTTGCCCTTGTTTTCAGACAGTTTGCTGTTTAATAGCAGTTTTTATTTATTCTAGCCCTGATGGTAACTTTGTGATATACTCAAGTTGGTCTGAATTTGGTTAGTATCATTCTTGGCTTTTGTTTGGAAACATGTGGTGTAAGCACCATGCTATTAGTTGTACAACGCATGCTTTTTAAATAATAAAATCCTAATTTTTTATAAATATGCTTTTTCCTTCAGAAATTGTATATTTAACACAGTATTCGCATAATGGTGAATACAGCTAATACACTACTGTGTCTGTAGTTATAAAGTTTCTACAAGTGTGTGTATAATTATCTTTAATTCTGTTTTTGTCGAATGCTTCTATGCTAACGTTTGTGAAATGTTGTCTAAATGCAGTGCACATGGTTAATGTCTATGGTGCTCAAGAGACACATGTTGCACTGGACCTGTGCCCTATGGACCGTAGGTTCTGTGTGTTCTCACTCAAGTTTTCTGAGGACAATAAGGAGATATTGTGTGGGTAAGTGTTCCATGGTGCACAAAACAAAGTGCAGCAATGACTGTCAGTTATTCCTGCGTCTGTTGTCATTGTGATATGCTTGCTTTGCTTATGAATAAAACATTTGAATATCATACGTGGCCAAATACTATCACCTCTCTCCAGTTAAACTGTGTACTGTATATCTGTATCCATGCACTGCTCCATCTTTTTAGTGGCGAAATTTGACACAAAGACAAATAGTTAATACTGATGTTTGTTCATCTTTCAGAGCAAATGATAGGTGCGCATATGTCTATGACAGAGAACGAGGGGAACGAACGTTGCGGGTTAGTCCACAGTTTTGTCATGTGATATGCACCTCTGTTGTTATTTTTATTAATTTTTTACTCAATCCATATATTATGCTATTTTATTTCCGACATGGTGTTTTCATGTGAGCTGGCATGTGATGTGTAACATAACCTCCTAAAGAGGTAGCTTATGGTAGATTGTGGATTCCTTATGTATGTTATAGGTGGAAGCACACGAAGACGATGTGAACTGTATTGCATTTGCCGATTGTTCATCATACATTTTGTACAGCGGTGGTGATGATGGGCTTGTTAAGGTATGTACGTTAACCTTGTCCTTGTAGAGTTACTTACTGAAATGGTCAGGTATAATATTAAATCTTATTATCAGTATTGATATAATTGGCGAGGTATTAAATAGTCATGATCTCTCTTCAATTTAGGTCTATATATAATAATATTTGTCACTTATTTTGATGATATATACTTATTAGGTATGTTAACTGACATTGAACCTATGCAGTAGCATTCTGTTCAGCCAATTCACTAGGATTATTTTCTCTTCAAGGTTTGGGATAGAAGAACATTGAGTGAATCTTACCCAAAACCGATAGGTGTATTAGCAGGTCATTCTGATGGTATAACACATATTGACTCAAAGGTATGTATCTGCGCACAAAGATGGCAGGACAGAGTAAGATTTTCCAAAACAGGTGTTTTCTTGTAGTTATGAAAAAGTAGTGGCAAATAGCTTGGACTTGATGACCTTATGATCTTGGTGTAAGAAACCAGTGAGTCTTTTGACCCAATTGTAGTTTCCAGGGGCTCTAGTTGTCCATATCTGTTATAAAACTGGGGTATGGTTCATAATATTTTATTTTGTTATGGACAGATTTTATCGTTTTAAAATAGGGTGATGGCCGATACCTCATCTCTAATTCCAAAGACCAGACGATAAAACTATGGGACATCCGTAGGTTTAGCTCAGATGATGCGCAGGAACAGACGAGACGAGCTGTCGCTAACCAGTCTTGGGACTACCGTTGGCAGGGTGTGCCGCGCAGATGTAAGTCTGGTGCTAGTTGTTCTGGTATGTATTCTGAATGTAACTTTCTGTAACGACCTGGTCACTGCTCAGGCAGATTATTACATGTCCAACTATGGAACAAGCCAAATACTATGGCTGCAGGCTTACCACCATGTCTTCTTAATACCACTAGTAATGCTGCAAGCACTTGCAATTCTACTAAAATATACTAGTCTGCACCATCAGCAGAAGGCACATTCCCATGAGCATCTAGGTGAAACCCTGTCAATGCTCTTCCTACTAATTACCTTCCAACTATAACGTTTCACGATGAACATATTATTATGGATTGTACATGTAGCTTACTTCATCATTGGCACCATGAAATTGTGCTGATGTGACTCAACACCATGCATCATCTGTTGATCTGCCTTACTGTGGAACGCACATGCATAAGCTGTGGCATAAACTCGTCTACCCAAATCTTTGGAACATTTTGCATCGTAGTTATAATAATAGTTACTCTGATGCTCCTGTGTGAAGTGTTTAGGGAATTTCTTGCAGCTCAGAGAAAGCAGCAGCTGTTGGGTGATTCGTCCTTGATGACGTACAGAGGGCACTGCGTATTGCACACGCTTATACGTGCATATTTCTCTCCACTGTTTACAACGGGTCAGCGATACATCATCACTGGCTGTGCGACGGGCAGCTTCATTGGTTTGTTATATTGGTTATTTAATCTCCTAAGAATAGATTTATGAAGACAATTTTAAGCAGTACAGTGCAATATATATAGTGTCTCAAGGATGTTTCCTCTGTTGGAAAAAATGTACTTTGTGAGTAAGGCACTACCTGGACTGTTTTTTTGTATGCTTGTCCTTTTTATTTGGATTATTTTCACGTGTGCTTTCTTCTCTTTAGTGTATGATATTTTGACTGGAAAGAAAGTGGCAAAACATAAACAGCACAAGTCATGTGTGCGAGATGTAGCCTGGCACCCTTACGACAATGTGATCATGACCTCGTCGGTAATTGCTGCATACATAGTGGATAGGTTCGAGTGTATGGCACAAAGGCTCGTTATTCTGTTTGCAGCCAACAGAATTGATACATCTTACATACAGAAGTTCAATCTGAATCTCTTTATTTTTTCATCAATACAGATGAAAAAAGTATGATGAGAGTTTATGGGCACTCTAACTTATATTATCAAGAATCTTTAAAAAGTTATTGCATACTTAAATTATGTGTTACTGACATATTTTAAACTTGATTCTGTTGCACTCTCGTCTTTTAACTACGTTACGGAAAAACATAGATCAATAATATCAGGAGTGATTATTATTATAGATCTATTGTTATTCACTTCTAATAATATTATTTCTCATGGTTTACACAGTGGGATGGAAAAGTTGGTCGTTGGTACTACAAACGTTCAGAGCCTGACCTTGTTGAGACCAGTGTCAGTGGAGATGAAGGAAATACTGACACCACCAGCAACACAGAGACCCATCCTCAGCGCACCTCTGGTCTGCGAGACCGCTTGCGGAGTGCTCTTGGTTCCAGATCAAGCCACGAGTGAATCTGCCTGGGACCTAGTTCTGGCTTTCCATATTTCACAAAATATACGGTCAGGATTGTTATATATCTCGTGTTCTTGAAGCATTAGAATAAAGATTCTAATGACTGTCTTACTTGTTACATACTAGGGGGGGGGGGGGTTACATCTCCCTTCCTTACAAGATCGTACTAGAATGCATAACTATAAACGAGCAACATTGAACAGTATCTTACTAAACGAACAACAGTAAACACTATTGAATTACGACCGTTATGGGAGGTCTTACACATAGTCACTAAATCGGACAGCTGGTTTCCTGTTACATCCAGACCTTCGAACTGGTTCAGGACAATCTTCAGACGTGACATTTATTATATTGTCACTGTTGTCATTCACAACAATAGGATTGTCATCTGCACAGTCAGTCAGGGTTTCGAGTGTTGATGGTACTTCAACGGGTGACTGGATGGGTGGCAATGCAGTTATTGCCTTCTCATAGGTATCCGACTGTAGCTTCATGGGTATTCGTCTCTAGAGTGATTGGTGACCATTTCGACGTTCCTGCAGATGGTACCGTGGTTGGCAGGAATCTACGTCTCAGCATAATTCGATTTCTCACAGTCAGTAGGCCTGATGGAAGACGGATAACATACTTTCGATTCTTGAGGTTACGCTCTTGCACCACACCGTATTTATCCCATCTTCTGTTACACCTGTTCTGTACTAAGACAGGATCACCTACACTGAGGACAGGTAGGGGTTTACCAGGGCAGTATTTCTCAGCTTTCTGGCATTCACTGGATATCAGCTTATAGTCGGCCAGTTGTTTATGCCAGTCTTTGCTCAGGGCACTCTTGTGTGCTGGAATTACTTCATTCGCCAGGTGTCAATATAGGTGAATTGCAGGGTCTATCCCTGTACCCTTGTGGGGTGTATTCCTGATGGATAGCAAACCACGAGTCCACTTTTCAAAATCCACTTCACCATTCGTCACACAACTGCGTAGTAGGTGCATTAGGAAAGCACAACAGAATTTATTCGCATCTGATTGGTTCATATTACATTACAGTTATCCGGGTACTTATGCCGTAGTGCATACATGACATCTCCTTTTTTTTCTTTTTCTTGAATAGAAGAAGAAGAAGTTGAATAAAACAATTGAACTCGAACAGCAAAACTATTCAGTAATAAACTTGACTGGCAAATTATCGATTAGATATGGAATTGTCAATTATAATCAAGTACCCAATACATTACCACATCTAATTGCACCATGTATAACTATGTTTGCAAGACTGAATTGTTGAGAACAATTCTGGATTGGATCAAAATGCAAAGCTTTTTTTAACTGATTTCAGGAGTTCACCTGACTAGAACAGTCATTTATCAGTCACATTTCAAATCCTCAATTATCATTCAACTTTGAACACTAACAGACGAACTATGCAGCAGGGCTAGAAGTTGCTAGCACATAGCCCACTGTTGGAACTGGTCTTTACCACCAATTCAATCACACCGAACAGAATCACGATTTGACGTAATCTTTGTAACGACTTGGTTCCCTGATGATTCTCCCGGAACGAGTAGTGTAAGTAGTGCTCTGCCGTGCCGGTTCAGTATGTTCGGCATGTGCTAGGAGCTCATGGTGCTCCAGCGAACTTCCTGATGTCGGGATTTCATTGAGTTCCGGACCAGTTATTACAGGTTTCGGTTCGGATGTCCTCAGTAAGTGTTTTCTGTTTCTCCTGTAGAAACGTCTGTTGGGTGTTTGTACTATGTAGGACCTTGGCGCCATGTGTTGCTGTTGTACTACAGCTGGTTCCCAAGTTTTCTGGGTCCTGATCCTGACGGTATCATCAGTCTGTAGCTCTGGTAACGGTTTTGCATGCTTGTTATAGAGGCGTGCCTGCTCATTCTGTCTCATTTTGAGCTGACCACATGCATCCTTTGCAATATTTGGCATCAGCGATGTACTTTTTGCTGGTAATCTCGATCGAAGTGTCCTGCTCATAAGCAGCTGAGCGAGAGAGTAATTCATTCCAGCAATGGGTGCATTTTGGTATTTGAGTAACGCGATGTATGGGTCACTCGTTTCCTCGGCTGACTTTCTAAGGATGTACTTAACTGTTTGTACAGCCCGTTCACTGCATCCGTTTGATTGGGGGTAGGTTGGGCTTAAGGTACATAGTTCAATGTCCCATTTCCTAGCAAAGTCTTTGAACTCACGGGAGTTAAACGGTTGATTGTCAGACACAATAGTTTCCGGTATCCCGTGCTTTGCGAGGATGGACTTAAGATGCATGATCACCTCACTCACGGCTTTTCTCTTGAGTAGGCTGATTTCTGGGTACTTGGAGTAGTAGTCTACTACAACAAGGTAGTATTTTGCCCCATACTCAAACAAGTCCCTACCGAGTTTTTTCCACGGTCTGTCTGGTATGTCGTGTGGAATTAGCGGTTCCTTCTGCTGTCTCTTCTTGAAATGGTTGCACGTTTTGCACCTTGATATGAAATCTTCGATTGCTGATGACATTCCAGGCCAGTAGATGGTGTTACGCGCCCTGGCCTTGCATTTCTCCATCCCGAGGTGACACTCATGTTGAGCACAGTGTTGAGCATTTCCTTACGCATTTCTCGATGCATTATGAGTCTTTCCTCGTAGAATAGCAGTTCTCCTGCCTCGTACAGCTTATCACGTATGTTCCAATATGGTTGCGTGGCAGGAAGTGCTTGGGACTTCTCTGCCGGCCATCCAGCATGAATTGTGGACCTGAGTTCCTGAAGTTCCGTGTCTCTCGCAGTTTCATGCTTGAGTTGCTCACACTTCTGCTCGCTCACGGATAGGTTTTCCACGAATGAGTGAACTTGGTTGTCCATTTCCTCGCCGAGTTCACTGTCCTCATCTGATTGAGCAGAAGCTTCTCCTTTGTAGTTCCTGAATGCTTGGTCATTCGAGATTTCTTCCTTTAAGAACCTGCAGACTCAGAAAATATGGGGGTACTATGTCACTCCCATTGTAGCGGACTCTGCTTCGAGAGCAAAGTATCTATCATCTTCATCGTATATTTTCTTTAAGACTTTTGTTAGGACATCCGCTTCAGCCGGGAGAGCGTGGAAGAGAGCCTCCCAAGGAAACTTCACATGCAGAGCCATCATGCCATGGATGACTACGACCGGGGTGAGACCCGTATACTCAGACTGAAGGGCAGTCACTTCTGTGCGCAACTTGGTAGAGGTTTTCAAGTCTTCAAGAATCTCGACAAGCTCAGCTTTAGGGAGATTTTGGCGGATCGATCAAGGCCATCTTAGACGTCTCATTGAGTAAGTCGACGACTTTCTTGGATATCTCTCCCTGCGATAAGGGAGATTCTCTGGACGTGTTCCCAATGAAGGACTCAATTACCATGATGACAATAGCGCCGCTTGCAGGATTGGCGAAGGGGCCGCCGAGAGCCATCAAAGACCTCAGGTAGGATAATACTCGCAAGATGCGAAGCATGTCTTTGTCAGATGCTTCCGGGAGCATATTCTGGAGGCTCGGGCCCCACGCTGTCGGTCAAGACGCTTCTGACACCATGTAATCTTTTGATACCAGAAAGTCCACCATTAGGAAAGCACAACAGAATTTATTCACATCTGATTGGTTCATATTGCATGAGAGTTATCCGGCTACTTATGACGTAGTGCATACATGACAGAACCCTTTATCAAAGTTACATTCTTTTACCTTTTCCACCACTTTACTATGGAATTTTGCAATAGGCTAGGCTTTCGATGCAAGTGATGAAATTGGTGTCGAGGTGTTCACACAGATTTTGTTGTCTCGATTAGGCTTGAAGTAATAGCCACAACTTCTTTAATGTCTTGTTGCTTGGCAACAGGGAGCTGTAGTCGAAGAGCATCTACACGGTTGAATGTAGATGGTTTCATGGCGGACGCGATGGCAATTTGCTGAGTTTCCCAATCAAACTGTGAGTTCAGCTTCTTTGGCGAAGACAAGAAAGGATCGTTGCCAGCTCCTAAGGTCAATGCTAGAGAAGGCGTCCATATCAAATTTTTCTGGACATAGTGTTTTCAGTAATGACCAGTTTACCTTCTTAGCACGAGCATCTGGTAGGTTGCTCTGCTGCTGGACTGTCGCCTGCATTTGCTGAGCCTGTTGGGTGAGAATTGCAGCAAGCATTTGCAGTAGGTCGTTCTGCTGTGGCACTGAACAGTAGCACTATCAGCACTCATGTCCATCGGCATTCTGTCTTGTGCGTCTTCTCGAGCTGCCATCTTGTGAACAATAGCAATGCACGCATACAGTACGGTTTGCCGCCTTTACTACACGTGGTAACACAGTTCCATCACCCGGTCTCAGTTCAGGCTCACTGGTTCCAAGATTATATCAAATCTCCTCTGCCTTGCAGCGCCATGTTATATATCTCGTGTTTGTTTTGCAATTATCTTACAAGGATATGCGTGCAGTGGGTGTGAACATGCAATATCCACATGGACAATAAACGTGAAGTACCAGGAACAATATATATATATATCCCTGGTCAGCGTTTTGGGGAAATTTCACTTGGTTTAATATAATCAGGCTCCGTGATCAGGATCCTTGATGCTAGCAGGTGATATTTAATTCTGAGCATGTGCCAATTAACACGTTTTCGATTTCAAGTTTCTATTTCATGTTAGCAGTATTGGTAGTTATGAAAACTAAAAGCAAATGTTGGGAGTTTTTACATTCTAAGATTATGTTTAGATTTTAATATTTCCAGTCAATATTTCGAGGCTATTCTGAAAAATTGAGTATAATCTGTTTGATTACATCATTGCTGTGTGAATTTCAAAAATATTCATTGATATAACCAAATGGTAATTATTGACAGCCAATATTTGAAATAATTTGTTTTGTGTTTTATGTTACCAATTGGGGTACTGGCAATATATATCTAAGAATATTTACTAAGTGTGTTTTTGTGTCTAGATTCAGTTTCAGATTTAATACTTTGTTTTCATTATATTCAATTTATATATGACCTATACATTGAGTAAAATGTAAGAACACAAGATTAACAACGCTAAAGTTCAACGTTTGCAAAGAGGTCAGCACCGTACGTCCAACACGTTTATATGGTACACTTAAAGCTCACAAAACTTGTGTTATCCAAGAAAGTACCATTGGTGATTGATGAATCAATCAGGAAACAACGTGTTAGACGTATCTTTCTATTTAAAAGAGTGAATTGTATAGTTTTTAGAGTAGTTGACATAAGATGACAAGGATGTGTCTAAAATGGTGTGGGATAGTAATTATAAATAATGTGAAAACCTTTGTAAAATATGTAAAGTAAATAGGTAAAATAAGTACTTTTGTTACTATTAACGTATATAGTTATAGCATAAATAATGTATTGTATCAATTTATAGTTTGAAGGCAAGCCATAATTGGTTTAGTTGTCAGACAAAATACATGGCTTGAAATTTTTGTAAAGGATTTATGAGAAATTTTTATTATGTGTACACGCGCGCACACAAACAAACAAACACACACACAGACGCGCTCGCACTGCGCACGCACGTCACGTGACGGCGTGTTGGTTGATCACTTTTGGGCAGAATTATAACCATAATTAGAAACTTGGCAGTTGGCACACGTGTAATACATGAGTTCCTAAAAAATTTCCTGGTATAGCGTCCAGATAGCGTCAATTGAACAGTGCCACCTGGCGGTTGAACATGTATTGCCTTATGCCGATTTTCGATCTTTTTCTCTATAACTTCGTCAATACATTAAGTCCAAAAATAGCTTAGACGATTCTCATCTATCTCTCCCGATACTATCGTAGCGATCATTGAATAGAGATATTTTTAAATTGTATCAAAATCGGGTTGAATAAATGAAATGGGTAAAAATAATTGAAATTTGCGTTCCGTTACTATATTAAATGACGGTATCTCAAAAATTTAGTCTGCATGAGCTTGTTATATGCCAAAATGCTTCTAATTTAAAATAATTATAATTCAAACAGGTTACGCAAATGAAATTCCAATTACATGCCTTCTTTATGAATGCAACCGGCATTCATCTTAATATATACATGTAATTTCGCACACATGTAATATTTGGGTTCCTGATCGATACTAGTCTGATTGTGTCAGACTATATGTTGAAGAAAAATATGAAATCTTTAGCGCTTAAAAAGACAGGAGCATAGCCGAAAGATATGTCCATGGTAAAATATTAGATAACCAGGACAATGCATTTAGGTCGATCATATGTGCTTAAAATGACAGGTCCATGGCCGAACAAGACGTGCATGGTAAAATCAAATCTCAGGGTTTCATTTCGGTCGCAAGAACCGATACAGGAGGGCAGATCGGAATGCTAGGTCACCGCAAGAACCGATACAGGAGGGCAGATCGGAATGCTAGGTCACGCGCCAGTTGAGACGAGAAATGAGGGCGGTCATTGAATGCGGAGGACGGGAGGCGATGAAGTAGGAGTTTTGCACCCTACAGGATAGGGCGCTCTACTAATTATAAACACAGGTGTACTGATAAAAATTTATTACAGAAATCTATGCTGAGATACGCCCTAACCATATAAAATGTATATTCATCTTTCTCCCCTTCCTCCTCCTCCACCACTTCTCCCCTCGCTCCTCCTCCACCACGTGCCTCCCTCATCCTCGACCTCCTCCTGTATCACTGACTTCAACAATGAATAATAGACAAGCAAGTGAGCAATTGTCCGGGATGGTTAATTGTCCGGGGGGTAAATGTACGGGGGGTAAATGTCCGGGGGTAATTGTCCAGGGGGTGGTAAATTTCGGGGGTGGATTGTCCGGGGGAGTGAATGCGCATGGGCGTAAATGGCATGGGGTAATTGTCCGGGGGTAAATGCTCGGTGGGTAGTTGTCTGGGAGGGTAAATGGGTCCGGAGGATTAATTGTCGGGGGGGAATTGTCCGTAGGCGTAATTGGACCCGGGGGTAATGTCCGAGGGGCCGGTAATTAAAAAGTTGTCCGCGGGGGTAAATATCCAGGGGGTAATTGTCCGGGGGCCGTAATTGTTTGGGGGGGTTAAATGTCCGAGGGGTAAATGTCCGGGGGGTAAATGTCTGGGGGTGGGTACATTGTCCAGGGTAAATGTCCGGGGGTGATTGTCCCCGGGGGGTGGATGCGGATGGGGGGGGTAAATGGCATGGGCGGGTAATTGCTCCGGGGGTAATTGTCTGGGGGGTATATGTCGGGGCGGTAATTGTTCTGGGGCGTGAAATGTCCGCGGGGCGGGCTTTAGATTGTCCGGGGGCGTAAATTGTCCGGCGGGTAATCTGTCGGGGGTAAATGTCCGGGGTGGTAAATGGCATGGGCGGTAATTGTCGGGCGGTACATTGTCCCGGGCGGTAAATGTCCGGGGGACTTGAATTGTCCGGGACCGGTAAATGGTCCAGGGGCGGGTAATCTGTCTTGGGGGGTAAATTGCTCCGGGGAGGTAAATGGCCATGGGGGTAAATGGCATTGGGGTGAATTGTCCGGGGGTTAATTGTCGGAGGTAATTGTCCGGGGGGTTGATTGTCTGGGGGGGAATTTCGGGGGGTGATTGTCCAGGGGTAATTGTCGGGGAGGTGATTTGTCGGGGTATGGTCTCTAGAAACCAGATAAATTTTTATAGAAAGTTATGTTTGTAGATTGAAAAGCGGACACGAAGAGGAGGCCAATCAAAGACGAGCCCAAAACAAGCGGGTTGAAGAAATCATTGCCGTCGGTCACTAACCGACATTTTAAAGGTTCTCCAGTTGCCAGCGTGGACACTAGAAACAGCGGAGTAATTCGAGGGGGTAATTGAGCCGGGGGTAAATATCCAGGGGGTAATTGTCCGGGGGGTAATTGTTTGCGGGGTAAATGTCGGGGCGTAAATGTCCGGGGGGTGAATGTCTGCGGGGGGTTAACTTGTCCAGGCGGTAAGATGTCGGGGGTGATGTCCGGGGGGTGAAGGGCGATGGGGGGGGTAATTGGCATGGGGTTAATTGGTGCCGGGCGGGTAATTGATCTGGGGGGTATATGCTCCGCGGGGGTAATTGTCTGGGGGTAAATGCCGGGGACCGTTAAATGGTCCGGGGGGTAAATGTACGGCGGGGTAATTGTCCGGGGGTAAATGTCCGGGGGGTAAATGGCATGGGGGGTAATTTCCGCGGGGGTAAATGTCGGCGGGATAATTATGTCCGGGTAAATGTCGGGGCGGAATTGTTGTGGGGGCGGTAAATGTCCGGGGCGTAATGGCCATGGGGTAATGGGCATTGGGGGTATTATTGGTCCGGGGGAATTGTCGGGACCGCGTAATTGTCCGGGGGGTGATGGTGCGCGGGGGTAGGTAATTTGTCCGGGGGTGATTGTCAGGGCGTAATTGTCCGGGGGTGATTGTCCGGGGGGTATTTGTCCTAGAACCGATAAATTTTATAGAAAGTTATGTGTTTAGATTGAAGAAAGCGGACACGAAGAGGAGGCCAATCAAGACGAGCCAAAACAACGGTGAAGAAATCATTGCCGTCGTCACTAAACCGACATTTGAAGGTTTCCAGTGCAGCGTGACACTAGAACAAATCTGAAATAAAAAATACCAAATTTACCAACTATCTTCCAACTCCTACCGACCCCAATAGTTAGTCATGCATATATATGCATGAATAGATACCCTCATAGCATGCATCCGTTGGGTCAACGATGTCACATAGTTGGCATGTAGCTAGTTGGCAAGTGGTTAGCTGCATAACGTTGGACAAATATTTGCATACAGTTTGCATGATGCTAGTTGGAAAATTCTTGGCTAAATGACTGTGGGCCACCACGGGCGCATGATTAACACATACGCGCGCGCGCAATTCACACGAGCGTGTTGTTACAGATATTTATTACTGTGCGTCAAACCATGGATAATTTACACGAGCGTGTTCGGTGGTGAATGACTCACTAAAATGCACGTTAATAATTAAGAGTCTCTCGAGTTACGTGTGACGGGGAAATGCTACTTTCCTTACGCACGTTGACAGGGTTGACCGGCCCATTGCCTCCCCTTGTCCCTCGCTCAGCCTCCTTTTTTTTCTGCCGCCCACAGCTATTTCCCGGCCCTCCTTTCAGTCTTCACCTCTCTCTCTCTCTCTCTCTTCTCTCTCTCTTCTCTCTCTCTCTCTCTCTCTCTCTCTCTCTCACGAGAGCGGATATCATATTGCAAGTTTTCGTCCAGTCCGTACGGCCACGACTGAAATGGTGCTCGCGCTGCGCAATATCTCCGATCAAGATATATTTTGCGAAAATTTATGCGTTTTAAACATGGAGAGGCAGGTTTGTCTGCATAGATTTATATGATAATATTTTATCGGGTAGAACTCTCTTAAAGAATGGAAGAAGACCTTGCATGTAAGGTGCTCGGCGCAGAATATACCAGTCCGTACATATCTGGCTACGTCTAGTGTTTTAGCGTGGATGCGCAATATCTACCAGAGAGTTTGTAGTTTTTTTATGAATAGCATTTAATATGGTTTAGGGGGTATCTCAGCATAGATTTCTGTAATAAATTCTTTATCAGAAGACCTGTGTTTATAATTAGGGAGAGGTGCGCCTAGCCTGTAGGGTGCAAAACCCTTACTACATCCCTCCGTCCTCCGAATTTGCCTCTCTTGTCCCTCGCTCAGCCTCCTTCTTTTTTCTACCACCCTTCAGTCTATCTTTCGGCTACTTTCCTCCGTCTTCCACCCCCACTCTCTATCTCTCTCGCAGAAAGATAGTATTATGCAGTTTGTCGCCAGTCCGTACTTGCACGCCTGAAACGTGCTCGCGCCATGCGCAATTTTCTGGCCAAAAAGAATCATAGTTTTACAAAGATTATGCATTTAAAATGGAGAGAGGTATTCTAAAAGCATAGATTGTATTGATAACATTTCATCGGTAGACTCTCGTTCAGGAATGGGAGAAGAAGACCTTGCATGTAAGGTACCGCCTGCATATACCACTCAGTACATATCTGGTTACGTTAGTGTTTTTAGCGCATGCGCAATATTCACCAGGGAGTTTATTTTTTATGATTATGCATTTAATGTGGTTAGGTGGTATCTCAGCATAGATTTCTGTAATAAATTCTTATCAGTAGACCTGTGTTTATAATTAGGAGAGCGCCCTAGCCGGTAGGGTGCAAAACTCCTACTTCATCCACTCCCGTTCTTCCCATTGCTTCCCTGGTCCCTCGCTCAGCCGCCTTCTTTTTTTACCGCCCTCAGCTATCTTCCGTGCCTCCTTTCCTCAGTCTCCCACCCTTGTCGTTCTCAGAAAGATATATTATGCAGTTATCGCCAGTCCGTACTGCACGCCTGAAACGGTGCTCGCGCATGCGCAATATCTGCCAAAAAAAATATTTTGCGAAAATTATACATTTAAAATGGAGAGGAGGTATTCCAGCATAGATTTATATAATAACATTCCATAAGTAGAA